GCTGGGGCGCGCCGTGCAGGGCGTGCGGGAGGGCCGCCTGGAGCTGCAGCAGCTGCAGGCGGAGCGCGGGGGCCTCCAGGAGCGCCGGGCTGCGCTCGAGCAGAGGCTGGAGGGTCGCTGGCAGGAGGGACTTCATGCCACTGAGAAGTTCCAGGTGAGGAGGTGGGGGCGGGGAGCGCTAGGAGAGGCCAGGCTCCCTGGGGCCCCTTCAGGGCTTAGAAACTTTCTGGACAGAGAGGTGACTGGTGACTCTTGGGCCACTGCTCAGCCCTGGGGCAGCAGGCCTACGCGTTGCTCACAGCTCCTTCAGAGTGTGAGGGCAGACAGGTTTAGGGCCCTATGGCAGGAGGCCCCCTGGCAGCACTTGGGTGGCACCTTCCTGCTCTGGTAGCCCCCTGGGCCCCTCTCTCGGGGCTCTTATCACTCCAAGATACCCAGAACTTTCCCTTTTGGCCAACAAGTTTGCCGGTCGATCTCCTCCTCAGAATCTTCAATTCCCCACTAGTCCTCCTCCCTCTGACAGCAGCAGGTGAGGGGCCCAGCGAATGACCAGTATCCCCTCTCTGGAGCATTCCAGAGGCCAGGGACAGCTGCTCTCCCTCACATTGCACAGCTGTGACCAGCAGCTGAGAAAACAGCCTCCCATCCAAGCCAGACAGCGGTCTCCCCATCCCGTCCCCCACCCCCACAGGCACAGACCAAGCAGAAAGATTCCAGAGCTTGTGGGAAGAGGAGGGGGCGAGGGCCTGAGGAGGAGGAGGAGCAGGAGACAGCAGCGAGGGGACAGAACTGTTTGACTTGCAGTCCCGTCCTGTCCCCGTGGGCCCCAGACGTCTTGATGAATCGTTTTTCCTTCTGTTTCCACTCTTTCCCCTCTCCTTCACTCTGTAACTCATCTCTCCTCCCTCCCGCTTCCTGTGGGAGCAGCCTGCGCTACCATTTAATCAGCATCCTGCAAAGAAGAGCGGCCAGGGTGTGGGAGAGGGCCAAGAGAGGCCACTGAGCTGTGCTGTCTCAGAGGCGTGGGAGGGGGTTTTCTGGGCAGGGGCTGGGAGAGGGGCTGAAGGGGCCCTGCCTCTACAGAGAGGTCAGGCTGAGTCAGCAGCAAGCACCATCCCCCTTACTGACTGTCTCCGGCTTGCTTTGCAGCTGGCAGTGGAGGCGCTGGAGCAGGAGAAACAGGGTCTGCAGACCCAGATCGCCCAGGTCCTGGAAGGCCGGCAGCAGCTGGCACACCTCAAGATGTCCCTCAGCCTGGAGGTGGCCTCATACAGGTGTGGGGTGACCCCAGCCCACCCCAGCTCACAGATGCACAGACAGATGCCAGGCAGAGCCTTCTCAACTGACAGGGGCCCAGAGCCAGGGGCAGTGGCAGCTCTGCCACCACCAGGCTCTGTGACTCCGGGGCCATCACTGCCATGCCAGAATGTGTCCCACCTGAGCCCCCTGCTCTCTCTGGGGGTTAAGGGCCTGAGGGTGGCCTGTGCCTAAGAAGTCATCCAAGGAGATGTGACATTGCTGAGTGGAGCTGCTCCAGGAGAGGGGACTGGGCCTGTGTCCCGAGCCCCTGCCCTGAGGGCTGCCACCCCAAGCCTCTGTGGATGCCCACACTGGGGACAGGGCACGGGGGTTGGAGGAAATTGCAGGCAAGGGAATCTCACTGACTTGCCAGCGGACCTAGGTCTCACTCTCCTTGTGGCTGGAAGAGAGATAGGCCTGGTCCCTTCCAAGGCTCCTTCCAGTCTGAATGGCGGGGAGCCCTCCCAAGCCCCTTCTCATGCCCACATCCCCTGTTGCTGTGACCAAGGAGACAGCTGCTCCTTGACTGTGTGGCCTCTGGGCAAGCCCACAGTCCATTCTGAAAAACCAGCCAGTTTGACTGGGGAGAATCCAGTCTGGAATTGTCTCTTTGATACCAGGAGAGCCAAATACATAAGCCCATAAGGAGGGGCCAGGGCCAGAGAAGCGGCTAGGACAGGACGGTGGCCTCAGTGCCTTGGCAGATAAGGCCGAAGCCCTGGGAGGGGAGACAGGTGGGGAGAAAGCAGAGAATGGGTTCATCTCCGCAGAGGACGGAGTTGAAGATATGATGTCACCTTGGAAGGACAGAGGGGAGACCCCAGGAAGAACAGCAGAAGAGCAGAGAGGAGGTGTCAGCACAACTTGTTGAAATGACTGTTCCTTCTCCCCGCAGTCAGCTCCACAGGGTCCTGAGGCAGGGGCAGGGGCACAAAGACCTCCAGTGGCCCCAAGGGGCCTGGAATCCAGAGTACTTTGAGAGGCAAGATGAGGGTCTTGACCCCCAGCCAAACCACTGAGAGGAACCGCTGGGTTTTGAGGCATGAAAAGGATTTGGAGAGAGGGGGTTGAATTCATTTGCTTTTGTCTGTGAGCAGTTCTGGGAGCCCAGGGAAGGGGGGGGACCCATCCCATGGGAACAGCCTGAGAATTCCCACTTCCCCTAGGCAGCCCCCCTTCCCAGACCCTCCAGATGGTGAGCCTGCACAATGGCAGCCGTGATTAGCATGAGAATCGGGTCCCCCACACTGAGGATGAGGTCATGGGCCTGGGGTGGGGAGGAGAGAAGTCCCAGTGATGTGTGTGTACATGTGCGCATGCGTGTCACTGTATAGGAATCTGCTGCTGTGGCTGTGAGCCCAACTCTATGTTCCACATGTGTGTGTGACTGTGGCCAAGGATGTGATGCCTCTGGGTATGTAACTGATTTTGTGTGATCACAGTGGAGGGCAAGCCCAGCTGTGAGTGTTCTGGGCAGTCCTGCCTGTGGGCCGAGGACTGACCTAGGTTGCCCTCCATCCCCAGGACCCTCCTGGAGGCTGAGAACACCCGACTGCAGATACCTGGCAGTGGTCCCAAGACTTCCCTCAGCTTCCAGGGTAAGTTGGGGGGTGGGACTAGGTTCCCCCTGAAACTCATTGTTCTTCATAGCCCAGACCTGTCCTGCTCCTTTGCTGAGAGGCACCAGATCTAGTCTGGCCGCTGGCTCCAACAGGTCAGCCAGGAGGAGTTGGGGCCAGGGCTCCTAGACATTCTTGCAAGAAGTGGGTGGACCCTTCCTGATACTACTTCCTGACCCTGTTTTCCCCCTCTGCCTTTCCAGACCCAAAGCCAGAGCTGCGTTTCCCTGGGACCCCAGAGGGCCGGCGCCTGGGACCTTTGCTCCCTATCCTGAACCTAGCCCCCGTCACCTCACCCTTGCCTGATACCCTTAAGACACCTATGCCTGCCTTTTTGAAGAGCCAGGAATTCCTCCAGGCTTGTACCCCCACCTTGGCTAGCACCCCCATCCCACCCACACCCCAGGCTCCCCGCCCTGCTACAGATACAGAGATCAAAGTCCAGGAAGCCCCCCTTGCCCTCCTCCCCTCACAGGGTGGTAAGCAACAGGCTTCAGAGCCCTTGTGGACGGAAGCCAAGGTGGCCATTCCTGCCAGCATCCTTAGAAGGCCAGAGGAGCCTGGGGGCCAGCAGCGAGAGGCCAGTTCAGGCCAGTCCCCTGAGGATCAGGCCTCCTCGGCCCCTCCACTCAACTCTGACCCTAATAGTTTAGAGGCCAGAGATGGAGAGCCCTCTGCGTCTGGTGTGTCCAACACAGCCCAGGAGGACAGTGAAGGGCAAGCCTGTGGATTGACCGAGGAAGAGGCCAGCATTGAGGTCAAAGCAGGGCGCAGTTTGCAGCAGGGAACATGGCGAGAGGAGGGATACTCGGACAGGGAGGAACTCCAGGACTCTGTGAAGTCTCTGGAGGAAGAGCTCCAAGAGCCACTCTTGTCTGCGGACAAACAGAGCAGGGAGACCCTGAGAGGTGTGGAAAGGGAGCGTCAGGACGGGCCGAGGGCTGGAGAAGAGGAGGACTCCGGGACACCAAGCACTCCAGAGAGAGAGGATCGAGGGCAACTGCGATCGTTAGAAGAAAAAAGTCTTGAGGTAGTCGGATCTCCAGCAGAGCAGACTCTAGAACCACTTGTTCCCAGAGAGAAAGAGGAGCTACAGACATTGGGATCTCTAGAAACCGAGACTCAAGAGCCCCTGGGGTCTCTTAATGAAAGCCTAGAGGCATTCTCATTCCCAGGAAAGGAAAACCAAGAACTAGTGAGGTCTCTGGAGGAGGAGAACGGAGAGTCCTTGCGAGCTCTGGACAAGGATAGTCTAGAACCACCACCATCTCATGAAGCCGAGGATGAGGAGGTACTGGGAAAAGCGAATCCAGAACCACTACGGTCCCTAGATGACGCGCATCAGGAGGCCTGGAGAGCTCTAGAGCAAGAGAAGCCGGACGCTCTGAAGCCCCAAGGTGACGAGCATCAGGAGGTCCTAGCAGCGACAGACCAGGAATCGCTGGGGTTGCAAGAAGAGACCCGGGAAACAGTGAGAGCTCCTGAAAAGGAGACTCAAGAGCCACAGGGGTCTCTAGAAGCCGAGGCTCAGAAAGCATCAACTCCTCTTGGAGCAGAGAGCCAAGAGCAATTACTGTCTTTAAAAGCAGACCATGTGGAGGTGGAGAAATCTTTGGAACTAGAGAATGTAGAATCGCTCAAGTCTGCTGAAGAAGATGGCTTGGGAATATCAAAACCTCCAGAGCTACTCTGGCCTCTAGAAGAAAAGACCCAAGGGAGGCCGCCACCGATGCCTCTCGAGCAGGACATTCAAGAGCCACTGGAACCCGGGCAAGAGGTTCGGGAGCCCTTGAGCCCCCTGGTAAAGGAGAATCAAGGACCCCTGAGATCGCTGGACTCAGAAAACGTGAAATCTGCAGCAGAGGTGGGCAAGGAAAGCCCGCGGTATTGGGAAGAGGAGGGGAAGCTGGAGGCTGGAGAGAACAAGGCTGCGGCCAGCGCTCTGGAAGATGAAGGGCCCAGTGCAGATCAGTGGTGGGAAACAGCTGCGGTGGTGAAGGGCCAGGCCCCACTAACTGGGGGTGCTGCCACAGAAAAGGAAGCCGAAGTAGTGGTTGGCCTGGGGGAGCAAGATGGCTTGGATGGGAAGGAGGAGGCTACAGGGCTGGCATGGAACACAGGTGGAGGGCCCCCAGCAATCCCTGAGCCCAACGAGCAGAAAGTCCCAGTTGAGGGAGCCGACAGGGCAAGAGGTGCAGAGGGCTTCCAGGATCCTGAAGGGCAGCTGGAGGTGGTGGGAGCCCCCGACCTTGGAGCGCCCCCGGGGATGCCAGAGGAGGTAGAGGGAGTGTTGGAAGAGGAGGATGTGGTTCCAAGCGGGGACCTGGCTTCTGCCCAGGTGGCCCTGGGGTCAGACACAGCCGTAGGTGAGTCTGGGGGAGCTGCAGAGGGACAGGAACAGGAGACTGTCCAGGCTCAGGACCCAGACCCCCCAGCCAGAGAGGAAGCCATGGAGTGGCCCCTCAGGGATGAGGGCTTAGAAGCAGAGAAAGCTCCGGGCTTGGGAGAATCCAGGAGGGACCTGAAGGAGGCAGAGACTCTGGAATCAGGGCTAGCTAAACTGCCCAGGGAGAGCAGAGACCCCCAGAGGCAGGAGGACCCTGAGGGATGGGCGGAGTCAGAGTCTGAGCGTGATTCAGTGGAGGAAGGATTCCCTGCTGAGACCCTGTGCCCTGATGCCCCTCAGCCCAGGCCAGAGGAGGGGGCACCCCCAGAGCTGGAGCCCTCCAGCCCGAGGCCCACCGAGCCCTGGGCGCCTCCCTCACACCCTCATGATGACGTCTCAGGGGCCCAGCCCCGGACTGAGGGGAACCTGGAGGCTGGCTGGGGGCTGGGCAGTGGGGTGGAGGCCCTGGAGAAGCTGGAGGACAGGCAGGAGCAGGGTTTGGATTCTGAGGGGGTCCCTGGGGGCCTCCAGGAGGAAGAGGAACAGAGTGGAGAAGAGAGTGAGGCCGATGAGCTAGGGGAGACCCTCCCCGATTCTACTCCCCTGGTCCTCTTCCCGGGCTCCCCAGCCACCTCCACATGGGACCCCGCTGGAGAGGAGAGGCCCTCACCGCAGGGAGAGGCCAGACAGGAGAGCTGGGGGCCCACAGCCAGCTTGGCCTCTGAGGGTCTTGGGGCTGGACCCTCGGAAGCAGAGGAGGAAGGTGAGGAGGAGGGGCACAGCCCAGACTCTGACCTGTCGGAGGAATTTGAGGACCTGGGGACAGAGGCCTCTCTTCTTCCCGGGGGTCCCGGGGAGGTGGCAGAACCCCTGCGACAGGTGCCCCAGCTGCTTCTGGAGCCTGCAACCTGGGATCGGGATGAGGAGTCTGATGGATTTGCTGATGAGGAAGAGAGTGGGGAGGAGGGGGAGGACTACGAGGAAGAGGAGGGAAGAGGGGCAGGGCAATGGGGGCCAAGGTCCTCTGTAGGCAACCTGCAGCCCCTCAGTGGCCCGCAGAGAGGGGACCTCATGAAGTCTGAAGCTGTGGGGGTCAGTGTGCCCTGGGATGGTGAGGGCCCAAGAGGCGTGGCGGCAGATGCCCCCATGCCTGCCCTGCAGCCTGAGTCCCAGGACAGCGCTGAGCCTTCCAGCACAGAGGCGCCTGTAGACTCCGATTCAGCTTCCCTGCAGAGGGAGGATGCAGGCTCTGGCACCTTGGAGACTCCCGGTGGGCTGGAGGGCACAGGCCACCAGGAAACAGGGGAAATCCTTGGGGTCAATGGCCAAGGTCCCAGCTGGGGAGAGCACATGAATGGGGGGCTGGAGCAGTCTGAGGGAGGAGGGCCAGGGAAGCTGGGGGCCCCTGAGGGAGGCAAAGGGAACCCCTCTGAGGTGGAGGAGGGGGACCCTCTGGAAGCCCCCTGGGCAGGGATTCCTCTTCGCTTGGGCCAGGGCCAGTTCCTGAAGTTCACCCAGCGGGAAGAGGATGGAGATTCCTGGTCCTCCGGGGAAGACTAGAAACAGACCCCACACATACACCCCTCCCCCACTCAGGGGTCCTGCTCTAGAACTTCCTACCTTTGGTTTCTGTCCCAGAGCCCTGGCCCTCAGGCAAGTTGGATGGGGTGTGGCAAAGGGGTCTTTCCAAGGGATCCGGCTCCAGGTACCAAAACCCGACCCTCAGACCCTCCATGGGGGGGGGAGTGGGGGCCATCGTGCCTGCACTGCCCCCATCCTGGGAGGCTTAAGCCAGCTGAGGCCCCTCTGTAGCCCTGGCCTGTCCATTGACCAGCTGAAAGAAACAAGAGGTCTCGTGGTTCCATGGAGGGGATGGGGGGGCTCTGGTGGTCTCACCAGCCCTGCCCCTACCCCCCACTGCAGCAGTCCTTAGCTCTGGGCCTAAGGGGGCGCTCTCTTACCTGTACTACTCCCCACTCCACCCCCGCCATGTGGCCCTGCGGCCCTGCGTGGTTCCTCTCTGCAAGAATAAAATAAAGCGATACCACTTCCTTCAGAGTCTGGCTCTTCCTAACCTGATCTGGTGTGGGTGGAGGAGGGGCTGCCTACTGAGAAGGGGTCCTGGGAGGACTCTGGGGTGAGATGGGGTAGGGGCCATGAGACAACAGAGAAGGCTTCAGGCAGCAGGGCCAGGATCCTAGGGAAGGCCTGTCCAGGTGACCTCAGTGCCTGGCCAGGCCCCTCATCATCTCTGCCCACAGCACTGCTGATCACAGGGATTAGGCCTTGGGGCCACCCCCACGGCCCCTCACTGCCGCCAGCATAATAAGCCCCCTAGCTCTCAAATCCAAACAGTTGTCTGGCCTGAGATGTCTGCTGGATCAGAGCAGGGAAGGGGAGAGGAGGGCTAGCACACACACACACACACACACTCACCCCCTGCTGTGTGTGGCCTCAGGCCAGTCATTTAGCAGCATCTGGACCTCAGCTGAAACCACCCAAGCAGGGGGCCTGGGCCAGGTGACTTGAGGGTCTCTGGAGGATCAGAAGGGCCAAAGGGGAAGCTGGAGGGGCTGCAGCCAGATCTACCTGGGGAGCAGGAGACCCCCGGGAGAGGAGTAGGGGGCCATGGAGGATGGCAGGCAGATTGCTGACAAGGTCAAGCCAGGGTCTACCCACCTACACATTTTCCCTGGGTCCCTGTGTAAGGCAGGGAGAGGCCCAGGGATTCCTGCATCCTGTGGCCTTGAAGTCAGAATCCCCAAATAGCAGCCAAGTCCCCATTCCATTCTGCAGGGAAAGGAAAATGCATCCTTCTCAATATCCCGGGGTAGGGTGGGCAGGGGGCTGCCTAACTGTTTCTCCTTGTCTAGAGGTGGTTCCAAATCTGGGAGCTGGCACATCCTCCCTTGGGTCCAAGGTGCACACCCCTAAACCTAGGACAGGTGGACTGGCGCCTGGCGCCGCCCTGGCTGTCTGACTGCCTTCCTCCAGCTCCATCTAGAAGTCTGTCTTCACCCCCACTGCATACCTTCTGCCCTCAGGGCCCAGGACCCTGTCTCTCCCCACCCCACCCTCCTGGCAGCTCCAGCCTCCCTCCCCTCATTCCTTCCTGTATCCACTGCTAACAAGGCCTGGTCTTATCCCATCCAGGGAAGTAGGGCCCCTCCCAGCTCCTCCACAGGCACAGAGGCACCCTTGGGCACCCAGGCTTGGGTGGGAGCCAAGGATACAGGCTGAGCCAAGTAGTTCTGCCCTGTCCCCAGGGGCCCACCCTACCCCATACCAGGGACCCTGGTCCTCTGCACAGTACCCAGGTAGCTATGGTTGAGTGGATTCTGACTGTGAGTGAGTGTGTGTGTGTATATACATATAAATGTGTATGAGTGTGTGTGAGAGTATGTGTGTATGTGAGCATGACTATAAGTGTGTGTGTGCATGAATGTAAGAGTGTGAATGTGTGTGAGTGAGCATGAGTGTGTGCGTGTAAGAGTGTGACTGGGTATGAGTGAGCATGAATATGAGTGTGTATCTCAGCATGTGTGTGTGTGTGTGAGTGTGAGCATGAGCGTGCGTGGGACTCTGTGTGTGAGTGTTGTAGCCATAGAACTGTGCTCCGCAGGGCTTTCCGTGACTGTGTCTTTTCAGAAGTGGATCACCAAGACTTTCTTCCACAGCACCTTTGGGTGGATTTGCAATGCCAGCTTTTTGATGAACAACTGAGCAGGTAATCGTTTGTGTCACCCAGGGACACCCACACAGAGCCTCAGGCAGGGGAAGGAGGTAAGGTAGACAACAGTGAGACCCTTCTACAAGGAGTACTTAGTGGGAGTCGTGTTCTTTGAAAGTGGGTGCAGGCAGTAGCAGGAATGCCCCCTGGGGTGGGCGTGGGCACAGGGTGACTGTGGGCTTGGTACAGATCTTAACCGGAGGAACAGCTCCCGGGTGCAGGCACTGGAGAGCCAGCAGCCCCTGAGAGCATACGGCCTTGCGTGGAGGCCTTTCCCTGTGGGGCCGGGGAGGGGTCCATGGGCACCCTGAGAACCGGAAGGATGAGCAGGAGCTGGCTGGTGAGTTGGGAGAGGAGAGGGGCAGGCGAGAGGCACAGCATGTGCATAGCCCAGGACAGTTTGGGCGTTGGGGGGACAGAAAGAAGGTGTGAGTGGTGGAGGGGGCAGGACGAATGGGGAAGGTTTAGTGAGACTGGAGAGGTTGTTGGGCCAGGGGCCAGGGGTCAGGGGTCATGGCAGAGGCTTCATCAGGCAGCCAGGAAATAGGGACTTCTCCTGAAGGGAAGCAGGGGCCCCTTTGAAGGGCTGTAAGTACCCAGGTGACAGCATGAGGAGAGGTCTCAGCTAAGACCTTCTGGCTGGGAGGGGAGCAGGGGCCCGGGCAGGGTGGGATGGCGGAGGAGACCCAGGGCAGGGGCGCCAGGGACCCCGCTCTGGGCACTGTGGCAGGCAGAGGTGGATAGGGCAGCAAAGCCTGAGCTGGTGGTACCTGGGCAGCTGTGGGGGTGGGATGGAGGGTGAGGGGTACTGTTTTCTGAGGTGGGGTGCCGGGGGTGGGGATTGCAACCTCATGGGGGAGGGGGTGTGGGGGGTCCTGGAGCTCCAGAGAGAGGCCCAGGATGGAGGTGAGGGTTGGGGTGTCAGTCTGAGAGTGCTGCAGGATGAGTGGGGAGGAGAACCTGGACAAAGGAGCGGAGAGAGGGGGCAGGGGGGCAGGCAGCGGGGCAGTGTGGCCTCCCTGCAGGCTCAGTCATTCTAGAACGCTGGGGGAAAGCACGGACTGTCCCCGGTGATCACCAGCGCCCAGCACAGTGTCCAGGGCAGAGTGGGTCCTCTTAAACTGTCTTGACTTGGCAAAGGAAGGTTCTGATGAGCTCAGCCTACAGGAAGTGCAGCGCCTCTGAGGGCGGGCGGGGTCCCCAGGGAGGGAGGGAGGGAGGAGGGGCAGCACCCCCACCCCAGCAGGAGGACAAGGGAGAGGACAAGGGAGAGGTTATTCTGGGGCCTCCTCTGAGTAAATATAGCCTTGAGACAGTGAGGAGGGGCCAGGGTGGGGGGCAGGAGGTGGCTTCCTTGATTTGTTTGGGGCACTTCCTTATAAGGCCTGGCAGGCTGAGGCACTACAGAGGGTGAGGTCAGAGGCTCGGCTCCCCATTCAGCCCAGTCTGCTGCTGCCCCGCTGCCAGGCCAGCGCCAGACACTCGGAGGAAATCAAAGGCACTAGGCTTTGGGCTCTGGCCAAGCTACAAGATGGCTTGGCCAGTGGTCTCTTAAAGGGGCCCGATCAGCCTTCGTGTCTGCTGTGGGGAGAGGGTGTCCTCCAGACGCATGGGGGACAACTCCCAGCTACACTACCCTGTGGGCTAGAGAAAGGTGAAACTGGCAGCTCTCTTAAAGACCGACAGCCTCAGAGATCCTGCACAGGGTCCTGGCCTCCCTCCCTCCCTCCCTCCCTCTGCAGGGCCTGCCCTCTCCCTCTCCAGCTCATTGGTTGGCTTCTGAGGCCCTGGTCCCTGGACTCCCCCACAGCCCCTCAGGGAACCAGCTGCTGCCCCTTGACCCTGCGGTGGCCCAGCTGCTGTCAGGGATGCCATCCTGTCCCACAGGGAAGGAGGAATGTGCCCCTGTGGCTGCCTGTTGCCAGGAGGGAATGTAAGCCCAGCTCAGCCCAGGGTTGGAAACCCAAGGGGGCTCGTTCTGAGCTCCAGGACAAGCCCCTGGGCCCCAGCTGGGCGCCCATCCCCAGCTCACAGGGCAGGGTAAGGCTGCGTTCCAAAGTGGGCCCAGCAGTGGGGTGGGTGGCTGGTTAGACTTGAGGATCTTCCTGGGAGGCGACAGAAGACAGGAGAAAGGCAGGAGGCAGGCCCTGAGTCCCAGAGCACTTGGGCTCACCTGAGAATGGCACGCTGGGTTCAGGTGACCCCGACGGGCCTCCAGTGAGGGCCCCCGAGTGAGCATGTGGCTGGAAGCAGAGGGGACTGTTCTGCTCCTTCTCTCCAGGTGCCAAGGAGACCCCTACCCAGGCCCCATGGCTTCTTGTCTCTAAGGTGGCACCTACCTGTCCACCTCTGAATCTGGCAGTGTCGGCTTTCCATGTTATTACAGGACTCCGATGGGAAGTGCTTCCCACAATCTAACTCCTATTCTTATTGTTGGAGCATCGTCCCTCTTTCCCCAAAGAGATGGGCCCTGGTGATCACCCCCCACCACATCCCCAAATCCAAGGTCCTGGACCCCTTTCCTGCCTCCCCGGCACAAACGCATTCAACACCCCTTCCTCCCGTGACTCAGCTGTGACTCCGGAAATAGACCCAGGCAGATGCCAGGAGAGCTCTGCCGGGGAGCCCCTGCCAGCAACTGTGGGCTCAGCTGCTCAAAAACTGGGGCCTCAGAGCCCCCAAAGGGTGTCTGGGAGGCTTCGGGACTTAGGGGGATGCCCAGCTGCTTCTGGGCCTCTCCATTCTCACCTCCAGCTGTTAGCCTCGCTCAGGGACCCAGCTCTGCTCTCCTTTCTAATCTCCCCTCTCTCCCCTCTCCTTGTCTGATCTTCCCTCTCTGGCCTCTTCCCAGTCCCTCAGCCTTCCCATTTCTCCCCTTTCGATCCTTCACTTGCCAGGAAGCCGTGTAATGTCACAGTGCCCCAGGTCACCTTGATGGGGAAGCACTTGTGTGAATGATCTTAGGAGTCCCCAGATCCCCCTCAGGGCCTATAGTGCCCAGGCCAGACCGTGGAATGCTTCCCCTTAGTTACTTTAGTCCAAAGTGGTTAGGACCCTCCCCTCTGTTAACAAACCATCTAAATACTGAAGAAGAGCCAGCCCTTGGGCAATAAATAGAGACTACAGAGCCACCCACGCAGTCGATGGACCATCTCCTCATATTTGTCTCATGGACAAGCTGACAGGAGGGGCGGGTCCCTGGAGAAAGACACCATGCTTTGTAAGGTAGAGGGGGCAGTGAACGAAAGATGGACTGGCACGGTGGCTGCATCGGTGGGCTCAGTATCAGAACAACTGTGAGGGGGTGTGGGACCCGGCTGTGTGTCTTTCTGTGTACATTGGGGTGCCAGGAGTCGGGTGGGCTTGATGGAACCGAACATAGAGATCGATGTCCTCACAGCCCTCTTCCTTCTCGATTCTTGGCTCTGCTCTCCTTTCCAATCTGCAGGCCCGGCTCTGAGTCTCCGGAGTCTCCGTTGCAGCAATTCAGGTGGACGTTAGGTCTCTGGAAGAACTTCCAGGCTGGGAGTGGAGGGATCCTTCATAGCTGGGAGAATGAGCACTGGTTGGGGGTGGAGGGTGGGGCAGGGGGTGATAACTGCCTTCAGAGCATGGGGTTCCCAGCTCAGAGAGCCCTCCCACCCACAGGGGTACAAGTGACTGAGCATTTTTGGAAGTCTTTGGGAGCTGTGTCACAACAGGCATTTGGGACAATGGGACCCATTCTCTCTCCGTGCAGGGGACAGGCCCACAGACAGGGCCTCAGGGATCTGACAAAGGTCCCAGTGAGGTCAGTGCAGGGCTGTGGAAGCCAGGGGGTGGGGGGTGGAGCCTGGGGAAGGCAGCCATGGAGGTGGGCTTTGGATGAGAGTAGCCTGGGGGGGGAGCTGTGGGCGTGGGTAGGTGGGAAATCTGTGGAAGGCCCATCTCTTAGGGTTCTCCAGCTATAATAGGCTGCCCCCTCCCTCCAAGCATACCTATGCATTCTGACTTTTCTTACCCCCAGAGAACAGGAGGCCCTGAGAGGGGACCCTGTTTTAGCAATGCAAGAAAGATACTGAGAGCAATGCAAGGAAGAGACCGGGGGCTCCGCAGAGGGGACATATGGGCAGATCTGAGCTGGGCTCCTGGTACAGAGGCAGAGATGGGGTGGGTCCTCCTCCATCTCCTCCAAAAAATTCCACAAGGGGCCCATTTTCCCACCCCAGAGCCAGGACGGCACATCTCACTCACACAGACACACTTATGTCTTGGGCCAGCAGCTGGGTTCTTTCTGTGCCTGTGCCACTGCTGAGTCACCGGGGCAGCAGCTCACCCTTCCCCAGGAAGCCCAACAAAGCCAGAAGCTTCCGTTTCCGGCCCAGTGCAGGCCCAGCAGGTGTCAGAAGGAGTCTGGTGTCGGTCCTCTCAACCCAGGGAATGTTCCTCACCCACAAATCAAGGAAGATGGCGTCTCTCGGCCTGCCCACCGCTGTGGAGGAATTCCGTGAGAGAGTGTTGACGTGACTGAGAAACAAGGCCCTGCCGCCTCAGCACCAGGCTCTCTCTGGGAAATCCAATGTAGGACCTAAATTCCCTGGTGGCAGAGGGGTTACTGGCTGGACCCTCTCAGAAACGCCTGGCAGTTCTAGCTGCTCCTACAGGGTCATTATGAGTCGGCATTGGCTCAGTAGCCGGGAGTTGAGCTTTTCAGTTTATCTGAATCTATCTCTGCGCGATATGCCTCTCTGAGGGCTCCCTTCCTCAGCCTTCTCCCCTTTAGGGCCACCCTGGTCTTCTTCCGCTCAGTTCCAGCTGGCTCCCCTCAGAGCTGGAAAGAGTTTTGAGTAATCAGTGGCAACATAGTATAAAGGGGAGGTCTACTTTAGCCCCTCAAGAAACAGCCCCCACCCCCTGGCCATGCTGGGCTGGGTCATGTGGAGAGGGCAGAAGGCAGGCAGGTGAGCGGAGAGGAGGGAGGTGGAGGTGCAGGTGCAGGGGTGGGGTGGGGGGGAATGTCAGGACTGGTATCTCAGAGACCAACTGGCCTGAGGTTTAGTTACAGGGTGGGGGAAGGCCCAGGAGCCGGTGGGGCTGGGCTGGGAGAGCCCCACGCCCCTCTCCATGTGCACCTGTGTCCCTCTGTCAATCTCATCTCACCAGCTCCAGGCCTGTCCTGTTTCTTTCCGACTCTCCCGTCTTTGGATTCGTCTCCCTGCCTCTGGGGTGGATCAGGTTTTACTGACTTAGGAAAAGGAACGAGAATTTCTCACCGGGAGTGTATACATGTGACCGTGTACGCATGCACATGCATATGGACGCGTGGCGTATACACGTGGCCGTGCGCACACCCCTGTATCAGCCTGAGGTGAAGTGTGAGATTGGGCAGCAGGAAGATTCCCTCTTCACAAAGACTTAACACATCGGGATACGCCCTCGTCCGGGCCTGAGGGCACGTTTGTGCTCTTAGATGGGGCACACCACGGAAGGGCTCGCTACTCGTCGCACACACCCACCCTGTTGGTCACTCTCTCTCTCCACTTCTCAACGATGACCTCACCGTCTCAACCTCTGCTGACTCACAGCCTGCAGGGCCCTCTCATCCCGGCCGGAAGTGCGACCCCCCCCCCCACTTCCTCGCCGGAGGCCTGGGAAAGCAGGCCCGAGGCGCCCCCTGGCGGAACCGCGGGACTCCACATTCCTCCCGCCCACCTCCACACGCATGCGCACGCCGCGCTCTCAGGCCGATGTGCTGATCCCTGGTGCCCGCACCAGTCTAGCCTCTGGGCTTTCTGCTGCCATGCCTGTAACTTTCCCTATGGCCTCACATCCCATAAGCAGCCTCAGAACCCTCAAACGGGGGTATCAGCGTGTCCCCCTCTCAGCTTTCCTCTCGGCCAGGTCCGCTTGACTAGGGCACTCTAGTTACCTGCTCCATCTCCTTCCAAACATCCTGCTGCCCGTCTCCAACTCCTTGTCCCTTCATGCCACACATATTTGCTGGGCATCACACACACACACACACACACACACACACACACACACACACACACACACACGGGGCGGCAAACTTTCAGGGCTCAAGCCCAGTTTTATTTCCTGCTGGTTTAAAAGTGCTCCATCCAGCAATCTCATGCTCTTGGAAACCCAGACTCCGTGGTCACAGTGCCCCCTTGGGGGAGTGGAGAGGACAGGCGTGCTGGCATCCAGAGAGAGCAGTCGAGGCACTTAGGGACTTACCCGTTGCCCTGAGGGAAAAACCTGAGGGCAAGGGTGGGAGGGGGGTGGCTGGGCTGAGTAAACCAGGTGTTTCTATGAAGATGAAGAGGCACTGTCACCTGGACCCAAGCTCCGCCTCTGTTACTGTGTAACATTGTGCCACAAGGGAGGGTTGGGTAGGTGAGAGGACAGTGCTGGGGCACAGCAGTGTTCAAGGCCTTGCCCCCTGTGGGCCTGAATTAGGGCTGGAAGGATGAGGCAGTAGGGCCTTTCTGTGTTCCAGCAGCCACTCCGGGGAACTTCCAGGGGCCTTCACTGGGCGCAGGGCTCGGGCCTGAAGAAGACACACATGCTGGTCACAATTGCCCCCACCCCATCCACATACCCTCTGCTCTCAGAGACTGCCCTCTGCTCCTCTCCTCTTGTACCTTGACCCCTGACCTCATCAAAACACTAGCCACCCTGGCTCAGCCCTTAACTGGCCAGCCTGGGAGGCAGTGCATCCTCAGGTACCAGCACTGAAGGGATCCCAGAGCCTCCAGTCCCACTGTCCTTGCAGGGGCGAGTCCAGGGTGGCAGTGATTACTCCAAGATTACCCAGCCAGCTGGGAGGGCAGAGCGGGGCCATTGCCGGCTAGTGTGCCCGTCTGCCTCCTGCAGGGTACTCACAGGCCTTTGGGGCACACAGGCAATCTGCGGAGGCTCCCAGTGACCATTCTCCAGGCAGCGGATCAGGGGCAGGTTTCGCTGGGTGAGACCCTTCCGGCACCGGTATCGAAGCACTGTGTCTACCTCATATCGCAAACGTGGGCGGCCAAACACTTGAGCCAGGGGTAGATCTGGTGGGGGTCCGCAGGACACTGCAGGGGGCATGCCATGGGAAGAGTGGAGAGGAGTGAGTCACAGCCCGATACAAAAAAAGAATGGGGGTCCCAAGTGGACCCACAGAATGTTAGTGCTGGCAGGGTCTGGGGCAGACCTGTGGGTGTGGCATCTCCCACCCTCTGCTATGCATGCACAATCTGTTTCCTGGATCCCTTAGCTCCCTCTCCTCCCTGTCCCCTCACCCAGCCCCATCTTGCAGGTGTAGGACAGGTGGTAGTTGCAGGGCACGTCGCTCCACTGTCCCTGGTCATGCCACACCATGACCACGCAGTTCTCTCCAGACAGGAAGTAGCTGTCAGGCTGCCCGGGGTTCCAGTTCTCGTAGAGCTGGGGGGTAGGGGGCAGCTTCAGAAATGGGGAGCATTGAGGGATAGGGCCCTGGGGGATCTGGAGAGAGAGGGAGCCCTGGGGAAGCCAGGAGAGGGCAGGTGAAGAATTAGGGAAAAAGCTTGGCTTCAGGGAGAGGGTGGGAACTGGAGGGGAAGTGAGAGGAAGACAAAAGAGAAGGGGGGCAGGGAGAAGGGGGGGAGGGCTGTAAAACAGGTGTGTGTGTGTGATTGAGGGATAACGGGCAAAAGTGCTTCAAGGGAGATAACTAGAATACATGAGGGGCTACTGGGGTCTCTCACCAGAGGGACCCCATCCGACCACAGGAAGTCGCCTTCGATGGTCCTGTCGTTTAGCCCGATCCACTGGTACTCCCGGTATCGATCTGGAGAATGACCGTAGGAGAGACGAAGGTGTGCAGTGAGCTCCTCGGCCAGCAGGTGGCAGAGATTCTCCGTTATCGAGCGGCCTGCAGGCCACCTCCCCCGGGAGCGCCCGCCCCCCGCCCCCCGCGCTTCCCAGTTTTCCTTTCTCCCGCCAGCTTCTGCATCTGGGACAGAAAGGAGCCAAGGGTGGGGGTGGGAGGGGTGGTCGTGGGGGAAATACCAACCAGTCTAGAAAGGGTATGCACTGGGGAGGGACTACACTCTTTCGGGAAGACTCGAGTACAGGTGGCGGAAGGGAGATCAGAGAGCCGCGGAGCCTGACGGGGACTGACAGCGGGTCTCACGAGACAAGGCCAGGCTCCTGAGGGCGAAACCCTTTCCAGCCAGAGCCCCATTTCCCCAGCGTGGAGTGGGAGGTAAGGAGAAAATGGAAAAGTGGGGGAAAGAGGCGAGCCAAGTAATGGGCGCGTGAATTAATGAGTAGGGCTGCGCGAAGGAACGCGCGCGAGTGCGCGCACGGCGGGGTGCCCGTCCGCCCACCGTTGATGAAGTCCTGTTCCTCCGGCGTGCTGACGCTGGCCAGGTGCGCGCCGTACAGCCGGCACTGGGTCTCGGCCTCCTCCCAGCTCCTCCGGGTGGAAAAGTGCTTGTAGCAGGCGCCCTGGAAGGCATCCCAGCCGGGGCTGCAGAAGCGGAGGCCTGGGGCACGGAAGGACCGGCCACTGTGACGCAAGACCCCCGCAGCCGGGAGGAGCTTGGTGCCCTCCAGGGGCACCTGGCTCCTCCCACCGCTGCCGATCGAGGGGGCGGGGCTACGGAGCTGGTAACGCGTGGGGGGCGGGGCGGGAGCCCGAGCTGCGGAGGAGCGGAGGGGTGCTCCGGCTCGGGTCCCCGTACGTGGAAGGCTGGAATGTAAGCCTGAGCCTCTGTCTTCCTCCATCCCATCCTCCAAGGACTGGTGCCCACCTCTCTTCCCCGGAGAATGGAAACTGGCACGGGTGGAGTGGCTCCGAAATGCCCGCAGTGTGCTAAGCTCGCCTGTCCCAGGGACACCCGAGCGAGGCATTTGGGTCCCAGCTAACAGATAAGTAGAGCCTGGGGCACCGAGCGGTGAAGTGACTTGCCTATTAGTGAGAGTGCCTTCGGAACTAGCACAGGCGGCAGGACCCAGGTTCTAGACCTCTCCCCACCGCCCCCAGGTCCCTCAGCACACTCACCAAACTCGCACAGCTCCCCGCCGTAGCCAGGCAAACACAGGCAGCGGACCCCTTCCTCTTCCTCCAAGCATGTCCCACCATTGCGGCAGGGGCTGGGGACACAGTCACCTGAGAGGGGGATAGAGTGAGGTGGGGCACAGCTCAGCTACCTCAGCCTGGGAGCTATCACAGCACCCTAAAAATTCACCCTGGAATCGGCTTCTGTTCACAGCCTAGCCCAGAGTTTTGGTTCCCCTCCCCCACCACTTCAGCATTGGCTCATCCCGGTGTGGGCGGTCCTCAGGCCGACCAGGGTGCACCCAGTCCGAGAAGACTGAAGGGAAGTGTCCAGCGGCCTTGGGGGACCCTCTGCACTCTGGGGGAGAGATACTGGGTGCTAGTCCTGAGGCTGGGGTTTTCATCTGGCTCCTGGTTAGGCCGCATGACCTTGGGCAGGTCACTTCTCCCCGGACGGGGCGGGGGTGGGATGTTAGCTTTCTTTGTTCCAGTTGGGCTTAAGACAGTAGTCATAGCAACAGTGGGGTGTGGTCTGACCTTATTGCCTCAGGGACCTAGGACTTGTGTGGCCCAAGGGGAGCTTATTCATTGCACTGTCCAGTGGGCAGGTCAGTGGAGATCCACACCCTCCCAGGGACCTACTCAGCTTTGTCTCAGCATCATATGACCTCCCCTTCTATCTTCCCCTCCTCAGACTGCCTCCTCCGCTCTCTAGTTCACTTCTCCTCAGGCTCCCTGGCCTCCTGCTGTGCTTGTCTGAAAGCCTGGACTTGGCTGTACATATCCACCTAGTGGCTAAACTATCTGCCCTCTCCAACCTGGGACTTGCTCACTCATTCCCTCTGGCTCCTGGGGTGAGCACTGGCCATCCTCCAGCCTCTTTGCAGTTTGGATGACCCCAGGGAAGGTGGCCCCATAGGCTAACAGTGCAGGTCAGGGCCCTCAGCCCACGTTAAGATCTTCCCTGAGTGGGACCCTTCAGACAGCACCACCCGTGCCCAGTGGTAGAGGCCAAGGCCCACAATGCTTCACTCTGGCCTGAGATCTCATTGTTGATGGGATTCAGAAAGAAGCTGGAGTTGATTCAAGGAATTCTGCTGGGATGACCTAGCTGTTTTAGTTAAAATTAATCCAGCCCACGCCCCTGTCACCTCCTCTCTGCCAATGGTTTCTCCCAAGCTGTGGGTCTGTCCTCCTGGGCAAAGGGGTGGGGAGGGAGGGGGGGCATTCTATTTAACTCATTAGACACCAGGCCCCACAGAGGTGGCTAGTCCTGAAGGCCCCTCCTGCTTTGCTGCTCCTCTTGGCTCCTCCCTGTCCAGCCATCCAACCCTGGGGGACAAGTCACAGGTCCCTCCCCTGGCTGAGGGCCGCAGACCCGAGTCCAGGACACCCTGAATGTCGTGAAAAAACCCTTCCTGAGGCTTTCTTTTGTCCTCCCTCCCTGACTCTAGTTCTGATACCCTTCCCTTCTGCTGCAGTAGCAGACCAGGGGTCCTCGCGCTCCCTCATGTTCCAGTCTGCTCTGGTGGTGAGGCTGGAGTCACTAACACACAGCAGAGACCTCCACTGGTGCTCCCCCTCCCTAGCCCATGGTACTGAAGGCCAGCTAGGCAGGCAGCCAGCAGTTGGAAGTGAGTGAGCTGGGGTGAGATGCAGGAGTGCCCAGCCCAGGCTGCACCATCAAGAAGTGTGGGGCAGGGCGGGCCCAAGCATTTTCCAGGGACCTCCACAGGGAAGCCCAACTTTCCCCACATACTGGGGTTCCTCTCCAACCCCAGAACCCAGCTCAAATCGGCCTGCCCCTCTGAGTTGTCCACCATCTCTGATTCCAGTCTTCTCCAGGATTCGGGACTCTGCGATCCTTGGGTCTGGGTGGGTGAAGCCATTCCCTCTGGCATGAGGGAGTGGTCATTAGTGCAGGGATTAGTGGAGCAGGGGTGGATTGGGGATGTGGGCAGTGGGATGAACAGTTAGGGGTCATACCCCTGCCGAGAAGCAGGGCTGGGAAGTTTGGGGCACAGGGTGCCAGGCATGAATGAGCCTGCATATCAAAGAGGACCTCAGCCAACTCCCCTGTGGGAACAGCCAGGATGGGTTGATAGGGATGCAAGTACACACAGGCACACCCTGGGTGTGCAGTGCCTTCCCATCGCAGTGAGGGACTACATGCCCCGAAAGGCCCCCCCGGGCTGACAAGGGCCTCTCTGGGGTCCATCCTATGGACAGTCCTATGTGGGATCTCAGCAGTCGGGAAGGAGAGTGTGGACAGGCGCAAGGAGAAGCTGAGGGAGCAGGAAGGGGCTGTTAGATGCCAGCACTGGCAAGGATGTGGCAGCAGATGAACAAGGAAGAGGCAGAGGGAGACTGAGGAGGCGGAGACACAGAGAGGAGGAGAGAAAGCTTGTGGGAGGGGCATGGCACGACAGAGAAGCATCCGAGAGTGACCTAGGACACAGGTCCATGGAATGAAAAGACCAGACAGCTGGAGGTGGAGACAGAGGGTTCGAGTTTGGGTTATAAAGTGGTTTAATAGAGATTTATTTCCGAGGCTTGTTTTCCATGAAACAGTCGAAAAAAATACTTCACAGAAGTAGTCACTTAAGGCTCCATGGGGTTAGGGGCACTCCTGGGATCCAGTCGCTGGGAAAGGGAATCCCAGGAGTCCCTGATGTCAGTGGGAGGCAGCTGGAGGGGGTGGCACACAGGCGGGGGGTGGGGTGGGGGTGGAGGGGCAGTGCCTCTAGGCCTGCACCCTGAGGAGGGCAACAGTTGAGGGAGGCACCCTGAGCAGAGTGTGAGGGTGCCCTGGGAGGTGGATGAGAGTCCCAAGGGGTGGAAAGGGTCCCAGGTGGTCCGAGGTGGGGCCGAGGGTCACAGGGTGGGAATTGTGGAGTTGGAGGTCACAGGGTGAGGGTTAGAGAGTGAGAATGGAAGTCACAAGGTGGGGTGTCCCGGGCTGGAGACCCACAGGTAGAAGTGGGTTACAGAATGAGGAGAAAGGACAGAAGGGTCTGGGGCGATGGGGATTATGGGACTGCAGGTCAAGTGACCCAGAGCTGCAAAGGGAGAAACAGGAGGAGGGTCAGGAGGCAGGTGGAGCCTTGAGCAGAGTTACCTGATGCAGGGGCCACGGCCACTCCACCTCGGCTGCCGCTGTCAGTGGGCAGCACTGGCTGAGCTGGCACTGAGGTCCCTGCCAGGGCAGTTCTTCCGGAATTGTCTTCATAGGGGGCCTCGGGAACCCGTGTGGCTGGAAGCAGGGAAGGGGCCTCTTCGGAGCTCCCTGTCTCCTCACTCTCTCCTCGGGGGGTCTCAAACAGCTCAGGGCCTCCAGTCTCTTCCCCCACCTCTCTTGCCCCAAATGGTGTGGAAGGTGGTGGGGACGCCAGTTCCCACCTGGGAGTAGGCCAGGTCTCAGTGAGTGGCCCACGGACCTTCGGGAGCCTGGGAGCCTCTGACCCCGCACCAGGTTGTGGCGGTGCACCAGCCTGTGGGATCACCCTCGCTGGTGGAGAGACCTGGGATGGTGACTGCTCCAGAGCAGGGTCAGTGGGGAGAGGTGCCTCTGAGCCCAGGTTGCCCAGCTCGCTCGGCCGGGACCACAAGGCCTCATCCTCCTCTTCCTCCTCCCCATCTTCCTCCTTGTATTTCTCTTCTTCCTCCAACAACTTGTCTTCCTCTTCCGAGGACCCCATGGGAGGTGCCATAGACTGGGTTTCCAATTCTGTACAAAGCACAGAGGGTTCAGCACCAAGGACAGCGTCCCGACAGCGGAAAGGAGGCAGGAAAGGGCGGGGTGGAAAGGTGGGGCTGGGGGGGGGGCTGCGGGTGAGGCCTCTTTGCTCCACTTCCTGAGAGCTCAAGTCAGGGTGGCGGGAGACTGGAGAAGTCCTTGTGCTCTGTCATTAGCCAGCAGCATGGCCGCTGCATCTCCCTTTCCTCTCTCAAAACCAGAAAACTCCCTGTCATCAGTCACGAATGAGTCATAGCGACCCTATAGGACAGGGCAGAACTGCCTCTGTGGGTTTCAGAGGCTGTAACGCTTTACAGGAGTAAAAAAACCTCATCTTTCTGCCTCGGTGGTTTTGAACTGCTAACCTCACAGTTAGTAGCCCAACTTGTAACCACTACTCTATTTAAGGAGGCAAGGAGGAGGGGCCAAAGAAAGGGAACGGTTTTCCTAGGTGTAACTCCTTAAATTGAGCGTTTCCAGGCCTGTCCAAGCTTTCAAACTCTGCAACAGAGACTGCCAGTGCGGCTGAGAGAGGCTGGATGAACCAAAGACCTCCCAGAGAACTGGGGGTGGAATGTGCTGGAAGGATGAAGGTTGGGAGAGGGATGGGGGAGATGCCCCACTGAGCTGCTGAGAAAGGATGGGGCAGAATCATGCAGTCAACCTGGGCTGGCCCCTTCTGCCGCCAACTTCTCTCAGGTGGAGACTTCCCCAGGATAAATGATTCAAGTTACCTAGGAGGGTCCTAGGGGCCTCTGCAGGGTCTTCAGGGGTGGAGCTTCCGCCTCCTCCTTCCTCCATGATGGGAATGGAGTAGATGGCCCCACGAGACTCGCTCTCCACCCTGTCCTGAGGCAGCTGCAGCTCCTCCAGGGTCTCGGTCACGGTGACGATAGCCTCCAATCCATCAGAGGCCGGGGGTGAGGTCTCAGGGATGGCAGAGGGCTGGGCAGAGTCTGTTGGGAGGAAAATGCCCAAAGGAGACTGACTAGGTGCCCTCTCGAGTCATGGCCTGCAGTGTGAGAACATTGGCTAGCCGGTCGGAGACCAGGATCTTCTCTCACACCTTCCCTGGGCAGCTCCCTCAGGGCCCAAGAAGTCCTCTGGACCGGGTGACACTGTCCTCAATCACTACCAAGTCTCTGCTATGTATCCACCCAAGCCCCCAAATGACAAGCTTCTTGTCCTACAGTCTGCACACAAAGAAGGAACACACAGACACTAGAGCAAGTACAAAAGTATTGCTCCAACGTTCTGCTGCGTACGTGCTGGGTTTATTCCACACAAATGTGTCTGCAATCAGCGGACGGGTGCAAAGGAGTCCCCACAGCAATCCGTCTGCCTCGGTCTCATTAGGTACCTTATGGAAAGCAAAAAGGTACTGAATAACAACACTGAGGTGGGGGATCAGCTGGCTTGAAGAGCTGGTCTTTCCATCCATCTTTGAAGCAAGACTGTGTGTGGGAAACAGAAGGATTTCTCTTAAGTTGTCTCCCCAAAATATATGCCAGATTTAGCTTGAGAATGACTGTTCACTAGGCGGTCAGCGAAAGTAGGTCAGAGGTTATTTTCCCTAACATCAGCCATCTAGACTGTATAGTCTGACTCACCCTAAGTAGGGCCCACTCCCTTCTGATGAGGATAGCAGTTGTCTGTTTATTTGCAGGAGATACCAGACACGTCAAACTTGTTCTAGGATGAATTGCATTACCCCTTTTCTGTGATGTATGATTCTGTAATCAGATCCCCCTAAAGTGATATGATGCGTGGTTAGCAATAAATAAGGAGGCTCCCTGGTTCTCAGGAGGGCTGCTCCCATGAGGGAGGTGGACGAGGGTGGCTGCTCCTGCTCTGGCAGCCGGGTTCTCCCCCATGAGGACCACCAAGCGGGGCGGAGGTGAGCAGTGCTACCATGTAATATGTCTCACTGTATTATTGTATTATCTCTCATACTCTCGATGACTTTAATATAATACTTCTATATCTCAACCGTACAATTGTGCATTACTGAACCCAGAAGTAGTATTACTGAACCCGCGATTAGCGGTGGGGGCTGGCCCCCCACCTCTTCACCATTTTAATTTAATACTACAACTGTGAGGCTGATGAAGATGACTTAAGGAATGCCTCATCACGGGGGACAAGTCTTGGATACACCAATACGATCCAGAGGGCCTGGTCCAATCAAAACAGTGGCTGCTGAAGGGAATCTGCTAGGTCGGACAAATTCAAGGCAGAGATCACCACAGGATATTGCTTTGAGGGGACTCCAACGGGGGAATCTGCATCGATTTGCTCGAGGGGTACAGAATGCTATGGGGGCTTATTGGGAAGAAGTTTACAGAAGACTGAATACTGCCTTGGTGAGAAAAGGCCAGGGAAGTGGGGAGGAATTCCCCCTATTGTGACAAAGTATCTGCTCTTCTCCCAGGGGAGCCAGGGCTGTGCTAGGACTAGTGTGTGGGCAGCCAGACCCTCTCCACCCTGTAGTTCTAATCTTGCCCCTTCCAACCTCTTTCTGTGCCCCAAACTCAAAGAGCATTTTAAAGAAATGCCATGTGTGTCCCCTCAAGGAAGCCAAAGCAGTCCTTTCGACCTGGCCTAAGTCAGAGAGCACAGAAGTCTATGGGGGGAGGGTCAGAGAGATGGAAGCACCACCTTCAGAGATGTATAGGCCACGAAAGAGAATACGTCTAGAAATAAAAGCTTCATGTTTTGATACTTTTGTTGAACAGAAGTTTGATTTGGCGGCAGTACTTTCTGACTTACTCTCCCATGTCGCAACATACAGCTGAATAGAGAGAGACAATGATGGGAAGCACTTCAGGGAGAGTGGTCAAGAGAGGCTTAGGTGAGAGCTATTCCCTAGGTAAGGGGATGGAGGCCAAAAGATGGACCAGGTGGCCTCAGTACCTGGGGGCCCTGGGCTGGGTGGCAAGGTTATGAGGGATCCCATTCATTCCACCTTATATCCCAAGATTCTTCAACTGGAGGGGACAGGTGCCATTGTCACAGGCGGGGTGAAGGGCAGCATATAGGAAGAACCTTCAATAGTCCCCAGCTGAACTTGGAGCTGGGACCAGAGGGCAGAGAGGGTCACCCTCTCCTTCTGGAGTCTGCTCCTTTCAGGGAATGAAAGGTTTAGGATGCACTGTCTTGTCCTTTGGGGAAGGGAACAGAGAGGAGAAACCCAATGAAGCAAAGATGGAATTGGACTACGAAATTCCCTGAGGGCTGTCTGCTCAGTGGAGCAGGACAGGACAGGACGTCCCTGTCCTCATCACCTGCTCCAGTGAGCCTTGCTTCAAGTCAAACAAACACACCTCCTGTCCTCCACCTGCTCCCAACACCAGTAATCCTCTCCCCTCTCCATTCCCATCCGCCTCCCCACCCCCCAGCTCTTTCTGCGCTTCTTTGCAGGGCAGTGCTTGGTATAAGGTGCATAGAAATACTAACTACCATCACCATTGTCATTATCATTGTGAGTCCTGTCCTCAGCATCCTTCCCAGACGGACACACCTTCATGTCAACTTCACTTCTCCACCCGCCCCCGCAGCCCCAGACCAGAGAGGTCTGCAGATAGGGGCCGAAGGAAGCCACGCTTTTCTCTCGGGCTCACCTCATCCTGGCAGTGAGGCACCCTGTCTCCAGCCTCAGAGAAGGAGCTCCTTGAGGATAATGACTGTGTCTCCTACTTTTTCGGTACCCCACCCTAGCAGCAGCACTGCAGGATCCCAAGTGTGATCATGCTTCCCGGATGGTCAGCCACCCGTGGCCTGGAGCCTGGGCCTCTGGGAGTCTCAGGCACTGCCTTCCCTTCACCTCCCGATGCAAGATGTAGGCAGGGAAACACCTCTCCACCCAACTCCACCCAACTTGCTCCCGATGCCCACCAGCCTCTGGTAGTTAACGATCAGGCATACGCCTTCAAACTTCAGGGTCTGAAACACACCCACTCCTGGGCAGGGCTCTTAGTTGCCTGGGAACAGTGGAGAAGCTGGTGAGATCCCTCAGTGGATCCAGAGACTGTCAGTCATCTCTGCTCACTGAGTTAGCCGGCAGGATATAGGAATTTAGTGGGCCTCGCAATATGGAGAAAGAGGTTCACTTTGAACGTGGAAGAGAAAAGCCTGGACTGATTCCTGGTGGGAGACGCAGGGAGGCAGTTGCACAGCAGCATGAGACCAAGCCAGGAGGCATGCCCAGACTTAGGGCCCTAAGGATGGCAAAGCTCCGTATCCCCCATGGCTCCTGCAGGCAAAGGGTACAGACCTGAGGGAGGCGGGCCCAAGCTGGGGCAGGACTTCTCTGTGGGGCTGGGGGCTCACCTCTGAAGCAGTAGACATTGAAGCGGCTGTGCTTGTTGGGGAAGCCAGTCTGGTTGGGAAAGAGGAAGAGGGTCTTGACGCCAGGCAGGCCTCCTCCACACCGCTGACTGGGGGTGACGATGGGGTAGCGCACACTGCCGTCAGCCAGCCAGCCTGGGCTGCAGCGGTCCAGGCCACCATCCCAGGCTGCGTACAGCTGACCCGTGGTGGCAATCTCAGCCCCCCGTTCCTGGCAGTATGTCCTTGCCTCCTCCAATGTCAGCTTATCTGGGGGGGCACCCAGGAATAGCTCTCCTGTGGGGGGGATGAGGAAGGGGGGTTACTAGGAAGCCCTTTCAAACCCGGGCTCCCACAGGGGCCTGAGGCAAGCTTCTCCAGGTCTCTGTCTCCTTATCTGACATGGGGTCAACTACTTGCCCCCCTATACACACACACACACACACACACACAGGAGCTGGAAGGAACCTGTCCAACCCAGCATCCTCATCCTGCAGAGACAGAAGTGGAGGTTCAGAGAAGCTGAGGAGCAGGGTGGGGCACAGCATGTGGCGGCAGGGTCAGAGCTGACCGCCAGGGGCTGTGGCCTCTTCCACAATGTTTGGAAGAGGATTATCTTCTTGCCCTGTGAGGGCCTGATGGATCAAATGCTCTCCCAGCAGGGCCGGCAGGGAGACCTCCCGACAATGCTGGGGAAGAGGCTCCTTATCTTGGGGACCCTTCACTCCCAATCACCATTTAGGTCTTCAGCATAACAGTAGACATCATAGAGGTCATCCGGGTCCACTACCCCATAGTTCCGCACCCCAGGGAAGCCGTCCATGTCTCCATAACAGGCCTCTCGGGGGGTCTGGATAGGATACCTGGGGAGGGAGGCATCTCTTACTGATTCAACCCAAAGGCAGGTCCTCTCCATGTAGCTGTGTAGCTTACTGTTCATTGTTGACGGCTGCCTGTCTTGGCACCTTCAACTGCCACCCCTTCCTCACCCTTGGAGCAAGGTTCTCAAATCCCTCCCCGCCACCCCCCCACCCCCCCAGACCACCCTCAACCCTCAAGGCAGGGATCCTGTATGCCCAACTCAACACAGCCCCTCATACGGCCAGTGGGCCACAGCCCCCTCAGTCAGCCCCTTGCCCACCTGACGGTCTGATCCGACAGCCAGCCGGCATCACACTGTTCGTAGCCCCCGAGGTAGGCGGCGTAAAGCTGCTCAGGGGTGGCAATGTGGGCCCCGATGCGGGAGCAGGCCTCCTGGGCCCCAGTGAAGGAGAAGGCATAGCGGGCCGAACCCTCCCGGTAAAGGAAGACGACCCCTGAGAAGTGGAGAATGGGCCTGAGTACAGACCACCCGCCACCCCACCCCACCCCACCCCGCCCCTGTGCCATTGCGGGTACTCACTGCCCTCCAGTCCAATCCAACTCCTAGCCACCCTGTAGGGCGGGGTAGAATGCCCAGGTGAATTACTGAGACTGTAACTGTGCCAGGGCGGCGGGAGGTTTTCAACTGCTGACCTCACGGGTTCGCAGCTCAACTCATAACCCTTACACCACAGGGCCCCTCCCCCGCTACACAACGCCAACGTTCGCCTGGCTCTCACTCGACAGCCCGAGGGGCTGGAGTTAGACCGTGGGTAGAACTTTTTCTCTGCTTGGGGAGAGGGAGCAGGTAACAAAAGCCTGTTAACTCCTAAGGCTTTTCCAACTCCTGCTCAGCCCCCTGGGCCTGTAGGTTCCCCCTTCCCCAGGGGCCTCCTAAACCTCTCCCAGCCCGACCGTCACCTTTGACCTTGACTTCCACCGCGTCGCTGCTGTCTTCGATGCCGTGCTGGACCTCGCAGCGGTAGATGCCCGAGTCGTTGGGCCGCAGTTCGCTCAGCGTCAGGGAGACATCCGTGAGGGACTCAGGGTAGGCGGGCAGCGCCACGCGGAACCGGTAGGCCTCGCTCACCTTGACGCGCACCCCGCGCGCCACCAGCACCTCGGCCTCCCGGCCCCCGGACAGGAAGGTCCACTTGACTCGCGGAGAGCCCAGCACAGCCCGGCGGCTGGGCGGCGGCCTCAGGTAGTGGACGTGGCACGGGATGGTGAGGGCGCCGCCGAGCACGCCCTGCAGTGGCTCGTCGCCCGCGATGCGTACTCGGAAGGCCCGGTCTTCTGTAGGCGGGGCAGGGCTGCTGCAGCCGCTAGCTGTGCGCTGGCCTGGTCCCGCCCCCGGCCTCCAAGCCCCGCCCCCACATCTGGCCCCAGCCCCCCCAGGCCCGCCCCCGTCTTCCCCTGAGGTTTCCTAGCCCCGCCCCCAGAGGCCTGCTGTGCCCTGTGTGGGGTCCCCAGGCCCACCCACAGCCCTGCAGACCCATCTCAAAATCTTTCGGTCAATGTCACTCCCAGAATTCCTCTGCTTTGCTCCCCGAATCTCCCAGTTTCACCCCAGGATTCCCTGGACCCTCTCTAAAGTCCTCTGACCTCTGACCTCATCCCTGTGTGCTTTAGCCCTCTCCCCAAAGTCTCCCAAACCGTCCCCTTCAGTGTCACCTCCAGGATGTCTCCCAACTCCATCTGCTCTTCTCCCAGGGTGCCACATCCTAGGGCCCTGCCCCCAGTCCTCTCTCCAAAGTTCCCATCCTGGCCCAGGATCCCACAACTCATTTCTTCTATCCATGGCAGGTTAGAGTAAGAAAAGAGGCCACTCCCTACCACCTACAGGGGAGTGCAGGAGACAGACACCATGGCCCTGGGTGGAACCACTTACCGGAACTGTCCCTTTCCAGGGCGTCAGCGAAGGCCACAGGGACCTGGGTCAAGGCTGCCAGCAGGGACAGGAGCAGTGGGACCATGATGAAGGCTGATGGAGGGATCTGAAGAGGAAGGATGGATTTAGACCTTGATACAGACTTCCCTGGATCTCTCCCATATAGGTTTGGGTTCCCACGTAACCTGGCCTCCAAAACCCAGTCTCCCCACCCCCCACTATTAACGGTGCCTATCTGAGTCCCCATATCCCAGCCAAGGAATTCCTCCTCAGAGCTGGGACCTGGGTCTTAATCCACTTGCTATGGGACCTTAGGCAAGTTCCTTGCCATCTCTGAGCCTTTGTTTTCTGACTTGTAAAAGAGCCCCACTACCACCAGGTTACAAGCTGTTCCGAGGCTATGATGCTGTGAAAGTGCTTTGCAGTCCCAGGCACACAGGAGCTCAACAAAGGCTCTGAGCATAAGCTGGTGGCATGACACTTAGGGTTCCCCTGCGTCTCCCCATGCCAGAGTCCATCCTGGATCCCAGGGCTGCCTCCTCCCACAGCACCCCTCCAGTTTTCCATTCCTACCCATTCTTCCCTGGGCACCAGACCCACTCCGGCTCCTCCAAGGGGTCTTGTGAGACTGAACTCCGGCAACACACAGCTCTCCTCTCCCCTCCGCAGCACCCCCCCGCCCAGCTACCCCGGCTGCCCGCCTCACTTCCTCCCCC